ACGCTGCTCCTGGAGGCGTTGGAGGGCTAACTGCTCCCTTTGAGCTTTGGTTAAGAAGACAGGCTTGGAAGGGTTATTGCCGGAGTTGGAGCTGTTCGAGGCGGCGCCGCTCATTTCTTCGGAAAGACGTTTCCAGATCTATGATATCTGAACTGAATGTCTCGGAAAGGAATTTTTTTACCATCTACATAAAGCACAGTCGTTTACATTTTTGCCCTTACAGGACTGGAGAGTTTTTGGTCATTTCATGCAAAGTTATGTGGACTTCAGTTTCCAGAAAATAAGTAAATAAGAATATTAATTTTAATTTTTTTGATTTAAAAATATTAATTTTTTATTTTTTATTTATTAATTTTTTTTATTTAAGATAAATGAAAAATTTTAAATATTAATATTTTTAAATAAAAAAATTAATATTTTTATTTAAAAATTAAAAATTTTAACACCATTAAATAGATAAAAATACAAAGTTTACGTTATTATTTACACCATTTCTCTCAGTTTCCGATTAGAAAAACATTGTTTATACTTTATAATTAAAAAAAGAAAAAGAAAAAATGCAGAAGTGGGCCAATTTTGGAGGGCTTGGCCTGCTTGAGAAATGTTTTGGGCTAGGGCATTGAATGATTCTTTTTTTTTTTTTTTTTTTTTTAAAGTAAAAATCAGGATATCCGATCACAAAAAATGTTGTGCATTTAATCCCTGCCATAACCTTAAGTTTATATCTCATTTATTATGTAATTTTGATTGGATGTTTTAATATTTTTAATATTAAAATATTTTGATTTTCTGTATCTTTTTTTTTTTCTTTTGGTAAATTTCACATTCTTTTTGGTGTTTGAACTTTGAACCTTCCAAATAAGAGTGAAGCGCGAAAAAGTGTAGTAGAGCTTGCATAAACCGTAATTCATTTAACTATTAGTGGAGGAGGTAGCCTCTATATTGAGAACCCCCCTTACATTAATGGTTAAAAGTAATGTAGTTTGCGTTCTTTTAAGCAATTTTAAAAGTAAAAATTCCATGGTTTATTACAATGTGCATTTTTCTTATTTAAAAAAAAAAATTGAACTCCAATGAAATGGCTTGTTCCGATCCAGTGATATTAGATTTTGGGTTAAGGATATTTACCTCCATGGGTAATATATTCGAGTCCCATAAAACTTATTTTTCTACTCTCCATATATACCTGTAAATAATGTTAAATTGCTCAAAAAAAAAAAAATTGAACTCCAATGGAAGGAAAAAAAGTGTGAATAAGCCCACGTTAGATATGGCAATAAGTCCTACTTGATTGACGCAATAGGTCCTACTTGATTGAGAGAGATTCCTATCCCCACCAATGGTAAGGTGAGGATTTTTATGGGAATTTTAACGGAAGACAAAATTTATCCCATTCCCATTACTCATAGGGATACCATTCCTTGCAAGCAATACTAAGAATTAAAATTTTTTTTACCAATCTAAAGAGAAAATACAATTAATTATTTAATTTTTTTAATTTACATTTAATTTAATTATTTTTATTAATTTAAAATTAAAATGTTGAATAGGTTTGGTTTAAGTTTTTTAAGAGGTGAGTTTTAAAAGTTAATTTTGAATAAAAAAGAGTAATAGTTATGAATTGAGTTTTTAGATTTAACAGTTTCTTCTTTAAAAAAAATCATAGAAAACGGAAATTCTTGTGGGGTTCACAAATCTGGGAAAATTTTTTGCAAAATTTCACGAAACAAAATGTCTCTCATCTCATTGATGGGAATGGGATCCACATGAAGCCCTACATGAAATAGGAAATGTTATTATCCTTAGCCCATGCCAAGTGCATATAACACTTCTCTTTCTATTTATATTTGTTGATGGAAAAGAAAGCTATTGGTGATGAGATGGTGAGGGATGGCGAAGGGAAAGAAATAGTGAGAGAGGGAGGGTGGGAAGGGGAGAGTTTTGTATTTTAGGTCCTTCTCTTCCTCTTTTTCCTTTGTTCTTCTTACCACCAGCACTAAATGAAAAACAAATTAAGGCCAAAGTGCAAATGAGTCAGAAGATAGGAGGGATGAAATCCGACCACCTTTGTCTTGCTCTTGGGAAATTCTGTGGTAAGAAGGTAAATGTATTTGGTTGTACAAATTGAGGTTAAGTGAATTTGGTGTTAAAATTCAATTCAGGTGGTTTGATCTCTATAGCAATCCTTTATTTTTAACCTACCAAAAAAAATCTTTTCTGTTTTTTTTTTCTTTTTTCTTTTTTTGAAAAAAAAAAGAAAAAAAAGAGAAGAGAAATTGAATCAACGGACCAAGTGACAGATTATAACACGCTTTGTACATGGGCTTAGATAAATAAAACCAAGCCCAAAAACTTTGGACCCAAATTTTAGCAAAAAGAAAATTTAGAAGACTCTAATTAAAATTGGTCCAATATAAACAGAATATAAACATTAATCAAAACAAACGTTAAATTTTATGTAAGAAATGCATTTAAAAAAAAAAAAAAGAAAAAGAAAAATTGTGTGTCGTGTGGTGATTTTCCTCTCCAAGTTATCTTAAAAGTGCACCATTATATGGAAAATCTATCATGTGTTAGAGTCAAAAGCTTTAACCTTTAAGTTTTTAATTAATCACTAAAATTGAAGCCTTATTTTTGAAACTTTTGACTCTAACAAACGATGGATTTCTTTCAATTTTTTAAATAAATTTAAATAGTTAAATCTTTATTGTATCTATTTGTATACCAACCTTAAAACTATTCAAATTCATCATTTCCATCCTTAAGTTCTTAAGACCTCATTTCACATTTATATCATATCAATATATGCAAGCCACAACCCCCACCCCTCCCCCCTCTTTGTTTGTTGATCGGCAGCCGCAACCCCTTTCGACTTGATGAAAAACATGCCATTTAAAATAAGACAAATAGATCTATCCTCTTTATTTCTTTGATACCACTAATCATTCTTTCTGCCTTTATCCACCATGAAAAACAGAAAACACAAGCTAGAAGACATCTATCAGTTGCACCGAACCTCAAAAACATGTAAAGAAACTTTTTTTTTTTTGTCTAGTGATTTCATTTAGAGTTGTTGGGACGTCTCCCACCTTAAAATGTAACCCCACCAATCATGGTTCTAATTTCAATTTTAGTCTTCCTTCGCTGCAAAAACCCAACCACAAGTTAGCTAAAACAGGTTACTTAAAATTCATACAACCGATGAGGAGCCACATTTACACTTCACAGAAAGATTTTCAAGATATTAATCTTTGTCAACATTTTTTTTTTATTATTTCCGTTCTGAGTAATATAATAAGAGATATTTTTATATTTTTTAATTTTTATTGAAAGTTTTATACTAAATTGCTAATTTGTGTTTTAGGAAGTATCTTTTAAAATGGTTTGATACTTTAATTTGCTTCACCTGTGAGAATTTTGCCCCATATTTATAAAGTGCCATTCTTTACTCAGGCGCACACTTTTGGATTGAGACTTTAAATTTTTAATTAACTTGGGAGCCTTTTGATTGAACATGCAAAAGGTGATGAGTTGTTGATTTCCCCGGAGTAAGTAGATGATGGATAAATAAGGTATATGGACACCCATTTTTTAAGAATTTGTACGGTAACATAAATTGGTGAAAGGTTCTTGTCACCAAACTCATCAATATTGGCCATTAGAGGGTGCCTAAACTAGGACTGCTCTCCTTTCTAATCTAACTTTTTTTACTTTAAAACCTCCTTTTAGTGCAAGCAAATGGACCATCAAACTCAGTTAAAATACTTGATTTTTTTTTCTTTGGCTTTTAAATCCCAACCATATTTTATAGGGTTGGAACTTTGAAACCGTACGTATGTGAGGGTGGTGACACTGGTGAGGCCCCAAATCACAGCTCAGCAAGGCTAGAAGAAACTTTCGAATAGGCAAAAACTAGTGTTAAGCCCCTAGACTTTCTTCATTTTCTTACATAAGCCCTCGAAGATAAAAAGTGGCATGTAAGCCTCTAAATGCTTCAATTGAGCAAATTAGTCCTTGTTTAAACAGCAGAATCACATGTGATCATATAAGTTAAACAACCCTCTGCTCTTTTCACTTGTGTGGTAATTCTTTTACATTTAAATATTTATGTGACATGAGACTCTGTCATTTAACTTTTTATTTTGACTATTTTGAATTATATGTTGCACGCATTTAAGTGTAAAAAAAATTACCACATTAGCATCTAAGTGTAAATTACAAATGTAAAAAACAAACAGTTGTTTAACTTATGTGACCATACATGATTCTGCCACCAACACAAAGGCCAATTTACTTAAATTTAGGCATTTAGGAACTTACATGCCACTTCTTTTTTTTTTTTTTGGAGGGCTTATGTGAGAAAATGAGAAAAGTCTAGAGGCTTAACATTGGGTTTTGCCTTTCCAACATGTGTATAGTTTAACCACCCCATTGCCATCTGTCCTTCTTGTGCACCATAATTTGGATCATTTATATATCATGCATGCTTTGAATACCAATTATGAGATGCCCATTTCATTGTTTGGATTGATTTATGAATATTGATGCATGTAGGAAAGTAGGGGTTTCCTTTTAAATACCTTGACATATCAAGTTCTAAAAATATGGTTTATATGGGACCTTTTTCTTTCATAGTTGAAGTTGAGAAATTTAAACGTGTGAGTCTTTACCGTCTGAGCATGTGGTTAACCACTGGATTATTACCATATTGGCATGCATGGTATATATAAGTTAGGTTTAGTGAAATTTTGAATGTAACTTCTATAAACAACATATCTACAACAAATTAAATTGTAACAGATTATTATTATTTTTAATTACACAATAAAAGCTAAACCAATTTCATTTCATAATTCATCTTACCCATGTGCCCATGATGTCCACTCACTTCAGTAGGAGGAGTTTAAAGAACTTATGAGATGCTAAGTGCACATACAATTGTGTTTTCTTTTTACTATTTCCTTCTTCAAAAAAACAATAGAGCCACAACCCTACCTCAGCGAAGTTGGTTCTCAGACCAAGTTTGTCTCTATAAAGTGTAGAGAACAAACTGGTTACTGTATTTGAAGTTTAAAAACACTGCGGCGCCTGCCATGCATTCGGCGCTGCAGCATCTTTTTTAACCAAACTACAAAATGCCCC